GAAGTGACGTAATTGCAATCACTCCCATAAAGGATAGTTTAAAAATGAAATTTTCCATTGCACTGTATATAAAATTCAATTTGTTTCACCACAGCAGCCTTCCTTTATGTTAAAATTATGTTATGAATGAGTGTAAAAACTTATTTTTAAGTTAAGAAATTTGTTTGTGAACCAATATGGAACATGTTTTATCTTCCTTGGTAGTGGATATTGTCGTCTATCCCTTTTGGTGATGTGTTGTTGTTATTACTGGTGTAGTTTATATGCATGCTGTGTTACTTAATTGTGAACTTAATAGTGTGACGGACCAGAATGAAACAAATCAAATTTTGTACCTTATTCAAACAAAAATTTCAGTAATGAGCAGGAACTGGTGCATTATAAGTATCCCACAGCTTCAGAATGGTACATAATGTTCATTATGCAAGTATTACTGAAAGTGACAAATGAGCAACTGTTTTCCAATTTAAACTATTCCACAGTTTCACACTAATGGTTCAAAAACAACATTATGAAGCCAATATAACAATCTCATTACGTCTTACAAATTTGTTTATTATAACTGCTTGAACATTAGTTCTAAGGCTTTTAAGAATGGTATGTTACAATTAGTATAGCTCGGCTTCAGGACTTAGCCACTGCATTTGTGTTACAAACTGAACACAACATTCTGAAGACTGGATCTGTTTCAATCTTCAGGTAAGAAGGTGGAGAAGTACCATTAACTGAGCTAATCTCCAGTGACTAAGACTGCTTTGATCAGTCACACCTAACTAAGCAGGTATTTCCACACCTGTTCATCTCAAGACAAGCACATCCACTTTCCAAAACGTTGCACTCAGCTTGAAATACTAAGACAATCAAAGTTCATAAACCCAGGATATTAAGTACACAAGAAGTTTACAAGACGTTGAACCATATCCAGCGTGCAATTAAATCTTCTTGCATGAGCAGTCATGTCAACATGAAATTAATATCCAATTTTTTTGAGACTGATGTGATGAGTTTCACATCTGCAGGTTGCATTTACTCCACAGACTATGCTCCTGCCTGTCCTAGCACAGGACATTTGTGGGAACAGTGGAAGGAGTCAGGCAGTCAGGCATCATAAGCAGTGCTGCTTGCCATTGGTCCTTCCTCATGGCTCTGCCTTCTTTTATCAAGTTTGTGGCTGCATTCCATGAACATCCTAGAGATCTTATATCCCTGTTGAAGTTACCAATGTGCAACCGGGTCTCAATGGACTCCTTCACCAAGTGGTGAAAGCTTAACATCATATGCAGCCCTCATGTTCCTCAGTATGTTTTTCAGTGACAAAGTGAAAAGACTGAAATTTCAAAACGACAGTAGATTTAATTTCAGACATGGAAAATTAACAACACATTTATATGCTGACAACAGGATCATAATTATTAATATAGAGAATTAAATAAAATAAGTATTCTTAGGTTATGTGTTAAGAGGAAAACTACACGGATTAAGCACAGTATTTGAATGATGAAAGCTAACCTTAAAATCTGCTGAAAATACTAAAAATTTGTTTTTCAGGGAAGAAAGCTCATGCAAATAAAAATTATGTCAGACAATAAAATAGGTGAACAGGTTAGAGTATTCAGTTATGTAAGATGTATGAGATAAAATGTAAGGCTATCCAAATGCTAAATTAAACACAAACAAACAAAAACAAACTCCATGGCTTGGGTCCGCAAGCAAATTATACCGACCGAGTGACTGCCGCTTGTTGGTGAAGCTAATGCCAACTTTAGCAGATAGAGGGTGTTACGTGGTCAGTGTAACGAATCCCCACAGCCGTTAATTTCGGTTTTCTAGAACCCAACACAACTAAAATATATGGCAAAGTGGAGATGCAGTGCCCTGTGTCTGCAGGTCCGATTAATTGCATTAAACTGATTTCCAAATTTCTATCAGAGTGCACTTCACGTGTCATATGAAAACCAAGAATAACCCACGTATGTTTCCAATGACACAACTAACCCAGCACTTAACAGAACTACATAAAATGGTTAAAGTTGTACCATACTTAATCAATTAAGCACCATACCATGAAGATGCATGGATGTGTGGAAGTATAATTCCACACATTCTTATCCTTGGCACGAGCTGAAGATAAGTCATCAGCTTCATACTGCTGCTGCTTTACCCTTGAGGAAACAGCCCCCAGTGGCTACTGCAGACTACAGTATGTATCAGAAACTGGTAGCATATCAATAAAAATATTTAGGAAATCTGACATTCTTTGTTTCAGCCACTGATCATATTCAGGCACAGGGTGTAAGCAGGGACCTGAAAACATATAAAACAAATCTGAAATGTTTCTATGTTAGTTTGTGCATGGTGCATGCTTTCTAACAGTATAACTTTCAGACTTGTCAAACAAGCTGCTCTGCACCAAATAACACCATAATTACAGGAAACTTACCTGTGCTCTCTGCATTCTTATACAAGCTGAATTTGAACCTGATATTCTTCAGTTCCATATCCACTTCTGGTTAATTGCCAAAAGGTTGCCATATCTTCTTATGTTGACAGTGAAATGTAAGTTTGTCACTTTGCAACATTTATTTAAATACAGGACTTAAACAAGAATGCACCAGCATCATTCAGCCAACACTGGTCTTCTTGCTTACCAAGCAAATTTTGGGGAGGAGGGGATGGGATCTCCTTCTGTGCTACAGGCTACAAAGAAAATTGTAATAAAATTTTGGCATTTAAATTCATGTTTCAAAAATTGGTTCCATTTAAATAGGAAATATATCTTTGGAATACTGCCAAAAATATTAAGCCGTCAAGCAGAGTATGACTTAAGTATTCAGACTGCATAAATATGGCCATAAATCAATAAAAATATAGTCTTTTTCCTTTTGGCATTAGGTGCATTGGTCATGCTGCCTGAACCTGCCTAAATTGTCAGCCTGCGATGTATAGATAATTATCTATGGACCTTCACTTTGAAGAGTCAATTTTTTGTATATCTATTATAATAGATATACAAAAAATTGACTCTTCAAAGTGAAGGTCCATTCAGCCGACTATGGGCTAATGCTCTCTCAGTGCGGCCTAAACTGCACGCAAACACTCAACTGGCATAACCCACTCAAACATCCTATCCTGAGCACCTAACAGGAATGACAGATGACAAATTCAATTTAAAATGAAATAATTTAAAGAAGAATCACATCCACAGATTTTCCATTTGACCTTAACCTTGGCCTTTTGCTACAACAAAAAAATACAAATTTCCTTGGCACACTATTTTACTATCATTACCACCCTGGGGCCAGAGCACCATTAAAGTATGCCTACGCAATAGCATACCTGATTTACTGCAACACCAAGCCCCTCCTTCCACAGATGGATCGTCATCACCAAGATTTCGCTGACAATGGCTGCAACGTTATGACTTGCCTGCAGCTCCTCAAAACTTTGTTCAAGTTTCAAAGCCCTGCCTTTCACAGATACTGCCATAATCCCTAGATTACTCCAGCCACAACGAAATAAATCCACCTGCCACTTTCAGCATTATCACACGTACTTCAGAAGTCGTTTCAATCACGTAACATTGTTCGTATTCACATAACAAGACACACGATTAATTACGAATTAATAGAAACAAACACATCTTTTTCCCTGCATCTCACTGAAAAGCAGGTTATAATTATTAACAAATCATTCGTATGAAACAAGCAGAGCTCGTAAAGTCCATGGTATCCAGTTTATATACACATGTATACAGATCATGTGGGTATAAAAATGTTGAAGAAAGGAAGTATTGCAGCATTAACCTGCAAAGTCACATAGTATGTTCACAAAATAGAATGACATTACACTCGTTTAAAAAAACTAGTGGTGTAGTGTCAAGTTTCTATCCATTCCACTAAATAGGCCAACATCTTGAAAACATCACTAGTTCATTTGCAAAATGTTGTCATGGGCTTGTCACATGTGCTAATAAGATACATTCTGACTCTATGGTAAACTGCTGATCTCTTCATTCGAGTGTAAACACTGTAACTGTGAATATATTGCTATTGTACAGGAACTCATAAAACAGAAATTAAACACTTTGATATTGCTGTTCATCATAGACATCTACTTATAAAGTGCCATCAATAACTCCAACTGTTGTGGTCTGGCAGTCCAGAATTTCTTATTCAAATAAATCCCTGATGGCCAGAATTGAGCAGAAGCTTAGGCTTACCGCTTATCCGTGGGACATGCACAATAAACCGGAGATAATCACGGTACCTACTCTATTAATTATCCTTAGTTCCACACTCCAGAGTGTTGATAATACTGGTGGCTTTGGAAAGTACCGCAATGGGACAGCAGGGAGGTCATACATAAGAAATAATTTTAACTTCACTAAATGTTCACTCTAGAATTATTATGCAGCAGGCATTACCATACAGGATTTGCACAGAAATTAAAGAATTCTGCCCTTCATTTGTTGACAGGCAGCTGTTAACATTTGACTTTAATTTGCCACATATGTATACAATGGATTTCATAGCATTTAATTACTTATTAACTGCTGGCGGTATTTAAATGTGATTGCAAATTTCACAGTAATTAAAAATTGTATCTTCTCCGAAGGTCTCCTTTCAACAACCAATGCGTTTTCTCTTACCCTCGCTTTTAAACTCCCGCCAATAGGAACCATGTTCGCTCTTCGTTTTCATTCAAATTTAGCCCTTGCGGAGATCTTTCATATAAATACTACGATTTAAATATGAACTGTAGATCAAAATTCCATTTTACTCATGCAATTACTCTCCGTATTTATATATTGTATAAATAATAATTACTCTCCTCGCCTACGTTGTACCACTTGTACCATCCACTCGTCAGATAGCAGAACAGTACGCATGACACAATGTCTCCTGCAGAGTAATATTATCTGTTCTCCATTGATAGATAGCAGCATGGTACGACTCACGGTACGATGGCCTGTAATTTATTGTGCTGCACATCTACATGTTGTCTTCCTAATCGAGACTCTAATCGCTCTAATCCGTGGTATTAATCGATACTAAGATGGTTTCATGTCGTCTGTATTTATTTTAAAAGAGGGGACGAAAGTCAGGTGCGTTCAGTAAAGTAACAGCTCTTCTAATTAAATTGTTATAGTCGTACATGTATTTTAACAATATGTGTGCAGTAACAAATATTAAGCCGTAATGTCAAAGTTTGTAATGTTGATATAAACAAGTACATAACCTCACTTCTTTGTATTGTGAAGTTCATGAGCTAAAATCAATTTTTTTACCCCTAGAAGAGCCGGTTTGGTTATAGTTCATTTGAGGGGTATTTTGCGACTTTCCCGCTGACCCTTATACTATCACAATCCTCAGCACTGTTGATTCCTGTAGTCAGTCCCAGACCTGATTGTTTAGGTTTTCCAAAAGGTTAGTAATCCTGAGCACAAATACAGTTCTTTTTCGATATCTCCAAAATCCTAACCAAATTTTCTGAGGTGGCCACCTATATATATATATATATAATGCTAATCTGTATATTAATATTGTTATAAGTTTACTGTATGAACTCCATTTCAGTTATGCAGAACCTAACAACATGGATGAGGCATTTGCCAAGGTCAAGAATTATATTAACTAATCTACCAAATTCAGTAAATCTTCAGCCATATTTGCCGGCTCCCATAGCAACTATACACACCAATTCATCCCTGAATGCAGGTATCAGTAAACATGGAGGACCAAAGAAATGGCCTGAACATAATGAGAAAATTTATCCCCCACAAGCACCTGAAGATGAAAGAAGACCTGCTGTGAGTAAGCCTGTTACACAGAGAGAAAGAATTTTCACTAGTTCCATTTATTTGTTACAGTAAACTGTTATTTTGCTGAAAATTACTGGCTTCTGGGATGTAACACTCTGTAATGTGATAGGTCATTACCAACATTTTGGAGGAACCTGCTACCTCCATCTTCAACATAGAAGAGTAAGCAGAAAAGTCATACCGATAAGGGGAAAAGGAGAGTGGGATCAGGTACTTGAGCAAACCAGTATTGAGAACAGCATAGAGAATTGTGACCCTTAAAAGGGTCATTATTGAAGGGCACACTGAATGAGAGAAATAAGGACTCTTGAGTGAACTAGGTAGGCGACAGCAAGGAAACACTGATGCTACAAAGGGCCTTTTTCAGTAGCAATGTGAATGTGAGGAAAGACAAAACACTAAAAGGGACTGATTCAGAGGGCAAAATAGAAAAGGGATAATGCAAAAGTGGGGAAGAGAACTAACTAAATAAATTAGGGTATAGGAGGAAGGAATAATTTTCCAAGGGTAGAATGTTTTGGAGCTGTAATGAGCTGGTAGAGCAGTCAGGAGGAACAGGATATGGAATCAGTGGCCTTTTTCTATGACAGACTGCTGAAGCAGAAAAGACAAGACACTGATGGGCTGATTACCTTGTCATAGTCATTTTGTATGGGGAGGAATTTGTACCAGGATTGCATGAAACTTGAATGTATAAGGGGTGGGCCTTCTTGGCCCTTGCACCGCGACCACAGTGATCTATTGTGCATGAAACTTACTACTCATTCTGTGAAAAGAATGAATGAAATGAATAACCGGTGACAATTCTGATATCTTGATGTTTGCATCAAAAGCCCTAATCACTGCTCCCTGAGTAACACATCATGTCACACTAGATATTTCCTTCTAAATGTGCCTTGAGACATTAATATTTTACCAGTCATTACTGTATAGTAGGTACAGAAACTACCACTTATTTAGTATCCAAGCATCCAAGATTCTCATCAACCCAGCCAATATTTCAAAGAAAATTACCATTTATATATTGTTATTAAAAAAATAGATTTGTGACACACACATGTTCACATGTCATGTGATAGTTATTCCAGCTCCTACCATGCTACCTGTCACCCTCCCATATACAAGTGTCAATACAGTAGGGGCTAGTTGAATCTGTGATCACTTACAGTGTAACCACCCAAAATCTTTCATCCAACATCTGCTGTGTCACCCAAGAAGACCAGCACACAAGGTGAAAGTGAAACATGTTTTGGCTTTGTACCGGGTCTTTGTAACAGTTTGCCTCACACAGCGGATTCACATGAACTACACACCCCATTTTCCATATATGCTGGATAATGGAGATTTTAGGCCGCACCATGGTTCAAGCGGTTAGTCACTGGCTTCCCACCATGGTGGCCCAGGTTCTATCCTGGGTCTGGTTAAATGGGATTTGTGGTGGACAAAGTGGCGCTGGGGTGGGTTTTCTCCAAGTACTTCGGTTTCCCCTGCCAGTCTTCATTCCACCAAATTCTCCATCATCATAATCACTCGGGGCAGGTACAATAGGCCAGTCAGTGGCCACCATGCCGAGTGGACCCAGTTTGACTCCACCCCCCACTAAGCGAATGGAGATTTTACTGTAATGGATTTTCCCACTCACCACTGTAATTGTAAAGAAGGAATTACACTCAAATTAAGAAATCATAACGTTTACTCGTGCAATACACATTCAGTGATTCAAATTTCTGTAATATATTGAATTCCAGCCACACTATGACCCTGGGGCCAGCTCAGCCTCTAACAGAAATGAGTACCAGGAATATTCTTGGGGGTAAAGGGCAGCCAGCACGTAAGGCTGACAACCTCACTGCCATCTCTGACCCGATTGTCTAGAAAATGTGGGAACCTCAACATCTCACAACCCTATGGGCCTCCATGGCCTGTTACAGGGATAGCTTTACTTTACTTTATAGTGAAGTATTATTCAGAATTTAAAGTACCTATAGCAAGGTCTTGTTTTCTGGTAGGCAAAATGGCACTAGAACAGGTATAAGTTTTCACCCCCTAACCATCATTGCTCCTTATCCATCCCTTACTGCCCCCTAATGTGTGCAGTAGCCATGAGGAGACAGAACATTATCGCATTCTCGGTCATACAGCTGGGAGATTAATGTCTGCCCCAGCAATTAGCTCTTGATACAATAAAGGCATTTTATGAGTACAGCCATTGCGAACTGTTGGTCAAGTTTCTGTCAAGTGGAAAGTAAGGATTTGGCTAATGCTAAAGTTATTTCTGACCAAACTGTGAACACAAACACAACCAAGGACATAATTAACTTTGCATATTTACTGACTGACTGTTAACCTTAATGTCTTTTCCAGCATATTTCTGTTTGTTTGTCTTTAGTATGTGTGTCACATGAGAACCAACATTAAGTACAGCCCTTGGAAGATGTGGTACATAGCATGCATGGTAAGAGGAATGACAGTTGACGAGGCCATCAAGCAGCTTAGTTTTGTCCTGAAGAAGGGTGCTATTGCTGTCAAAGAAACAATATTGGAAGCGCAGCAGATAGCTGTCGAGAAGCATAATGTTGAATTTAGAAGCAATCTCTGGGTTGGTAAGTTCTATGCTCATTTGTGCCACAGCTAGTGCTAAGTAGGTTGAATTTGTACCTTAACCTGAGGAGAGAAAGTAATTTGAATATCATTTTAATTACTGTACCTGATTGACAAAACATCTTGATGACATCATCATCTGTTACAGTAAACAATACGTGCAATTAATGATAATATGAATAATCTAAAAATGCTTAAAAAACATACATATATATATATATAAGCTAGTTTCCTTCACTTATCACTGTACTACTACTACTACTACTACTACTACTACTACTACAAAATAGCAATAATTATAATAACTGTTATAAATTGAGTCGGGATAGTGTAGTTGGTATAGCAACTGGCTATGGGCTGGACAACAGAGATGTCGGAGTTTGAGTCACAGTAGAATCAAGAATTTTCTCTTCTCCACGTCCAGACCTGCTGTGGGGTCCACCCAACCTCCTATCCAGTGGGTTCCAGGGGTTCTTTCCTCAGGGGTAAAGCAGTAGGGGCCTGAAACTGACCACTCACCTCCAGCTAGTGCCGAGGTCAAGAAAAATATGGATCTATACATCCACTCCCCTATACGCCTTCATGGCATAGTGCTTAATTAGTTAAACACAGGTACAACTTTACTTTAATTACAGTGATAAGATCAAGGGTGAAGTCACGGACGGGAGGGAAAATGCTCATAACTTTTGGTAGTTTTAGAAAGGATGAAAGTTTCCATGCAGTTCATACACTCCAGCTATATGCTCTGCATTTCTCCTGTTACAGTGTTTATGTTGTGCCTGCCCCTGCCTTGAGTCTTATCAATTATTTGCTATCAGAATCATTTTTTTTTCCTTGGCACTACAGCCCCAGTGGGCCTAGGCCTACCTCCATGAACTTCTCCGTTCACTTCGGTTTTTCTAGATCTTACACATTCGGTAGGACTCCTTGGATGGGTGAGCAGCTCGTCGCAAGGCCTCTACCTGTACACAAACACAGAAAGACGCACACAAACAAACTAAACATCCATGCCGTGAGTGGGATTCGAACCCACAATCCTGGTTTCCAAGCAAGCGAAGACAGTACATGCCTTAGACCGCTCGGCTACTGTGACCGGCATCAGAATCATACATTTCGATAAACTGTGATGCTGTGAGTCAGGATTGCTGACATTTCTGACTGAGCATGAACTACAAGTTTTGGAATTATTGTGTCAGGTTGTCTGTCAAGTTTTGCATGATTTTCCTCAGCCCTTTCAGACAGATTGCAGAATCTTGAAGCAGATTAATGCTCCCTTTTGCATCCCCTGTGATTCACAGTTTATGATATCCCAACGTTCTTGTATCTTCACATCTGTTAGTTTTACTCGTAACAGAAATGTAACTCTTATGTCTGCTTTTTTCTGTTTCCTGCCCACAGACCTAATAGAGAACACCCAAAGATGTAATGAAATTTATTCTGTATTCTTACCAGTTTATACACCAGCCATGGCTCAAGTGTTACATTTGAGTTTTTGTATGCAGTTCGAGCCCTAATGGAAGATAAAGTTGTCCCTGTGCTAAAGTAATTAAGCACCATGCTATGAAGACATAGGATGGAGTAGAGGTATCTCTACAGCTTTCTTAACCCCAGCAGCAGATGGTCAGTGGTCAGCTTTATGCCCCTGCCACTTTGCCCCCTCCTCCCCAGAGAAGAAGCCCCCCAGTACCCATTGGATATGAGGCTGGGCGGGGCCTGGATGCTGCACTACTGGGAATCGTACTCGGGTCGTCTAGCCCATAGACCAGCACTGTATCGACTGAGATATCCCAGCTCCTGTTCGAGCAGTAATTTCAAATCATTTTTCTTTCTTAATTACATAAGTAAACTTTAATTTCTTAATGTGAGTTTTATTCCTCCTTTAAGGATTTGGCCACCATATACAGTGAAACTGACAGGGAACGCAACCATTAGCTGAGAGAAGAATGGGTACTTCTGCTTCTTATAGGAACTTTAATTTTAATTCTTTATTAGGATCCGTTGTAACACAACAACGAAACAGTCTAGGTCAGCATCACCTTAGCTACATGTTTTGGCTTTTAAAGCCATCATCAGGCAAACACATGGTTACTGCATGTTGTTGTGTTACGATGGATTCTAATAAAGAATAATAACACAACAGGATGCACCCAATGAAAGAAGAACTTTAATTTTAATAACGTTTACTTTATACTTCTTTTGGCTTATTTTGGACTTCACCCATCATCCGGTATATAAAAGACAAAAAACCCCGACGTTTCGGAGACTGGATCTGTCTCCGTCTTCAGGTGGATAGGGAAGGGTAAACCTATTCAGTTGGGCCCCTTACTTTATATTTTAGTATAAAATAATTGGGACTTTAATTTATACTAATTACTGTTGTTCTATTCTCTTTCAATCAACAAACAGCTGAGTCATTTGTTGGCAAAGGGGTGGTCATCCGAGGAATGCGAAGACATGCCCGTGCACGCGTAGGGAAGGTGGAATATTTCCACTGTCATTACTTTGTTCGGCTTGAAGAAGGAACTCCTCCAAAGCACTACTATCCATTCAAACGGGAGCTGACAGGATCAGAATTGCTGGAGAATTGGCTGCAACAGATGAGGAAACGGAAGATACCAAACTCGCTTTAAAAGTTTTACTCAAAATTACCAAAAGTTTCATGAAACTAAAATGAAATTGTAATCTGATAGTGCTAGAAAAGTGGCCTGTTATGGATCTTATTAATAATCATGGACCTGAAAAGAGATTTTTTGGTATGTACTTTTGAGGCTGTTTTAGGCCTGGGATAAAAACATGTTGTCCTCACATAGCACACCTTAAAATACTTTGTCACCATGGCAGACTGCGGACATGTTTAATTTTCACATAAAATTTTACAATATGCCCTGTAGCTGTGAAATAAAAATCACTGAATGTTTTTGTAACCTCTTTCCCTGCATCCCCTGACATCCATTAGTATAGATGATGCCACCTGTTTGGTGAATATATACCAGTATCTCAGAAGAATCTGCCGCCTGAATCTTCATTGTCATATGGCATCGCATCCCAGAAGATTATAATCTTAATATTTACCACCATGAGAACCTCAAATGTCATCCATCGATATATCAAGAGTGTAAAGTGTTTTTTCTCCGAGATACATAATGTATTGCATTCTACATTATCTTTCCATCTGAAACATGTTTCAAATGATGATAAATCACATACAAATTAGATACAATATTATCAACTTGTGTTTTACATTAATCTTCTCTTTTCAACATGTCTCAAATGACTGACTTCATCTGAAGTTAATGTATGGAAAACATTTGTGAAGGTTAATAAGTCACGTCTTGCTGTACTGGTTTCATGTAATAACTGAGTGATTTGAAAGAACCACATTTAGAATTTTCATGTATAATCAACACCAGTATTGTCTCCAAATGTAGAGTATTTTTTCAGCAATCACAGCTTAAGCATCTTTTCAAAGAAAGGGAACTTGACACTGGATATTTGTATGTCTGGATACACATGGAATGGCACACTGTACAAAGTTATTGCCGTGAGATTTGATGTGCTCTTATGGCTGTGACTCTGAAGATTACTGTCTTCCTAGAACGTGATGCTATGTAGACTAATAAATATTTACCACCATTTTGGAAGAAGCTGTTGCCTCCTTACATCCAGCAGGCAGTAATATTACTGTTACTGTTGGCCTCCATTTCGGAGGAATGTATCACATCCATTTTACGGTATTATAATCTGAGCAAGATACCAGCGTGAAGGCAGATGGCAAGTTGGCTGGGCGGGCCCCAAAGCCAGCACCAACCCTAATGTAAATTGCTTGCTGGCCAATAGATGGGGCAAGGAGAAGGGGGAGTAGACCAGTGCAAAAAGCAATAAGATAATAAAATAGGAAGTTGTAGTAAACTGAGAACATGTGCAGTTCATTGCAAACCATAAAATATCATTGAGTTTAAATATTCTAATTTTTGCGTTGTTAGACAGCAGATGAGAAGACAGAAGTTTCTGGACTGAACGGTAGCAAGCAGGTTAAAGATCTCGGTAACTGACTCCACAGAAGCAGAATTCTTCCTGAGAAGCTAAAGCTATATTACTGTTCAAGACATTTACTGCCTTTTATGGAGCCCAGAGATTCAATACTTTGTTCACAAGAGCCCGTCTTCAGCCAGTTGAATATAGCAAACACCATATTTCTGTAAGATTTATTTTAATATTATCTTCACATATATGTCTAGGTGCCCCAAGTGGTCTTCTTTGTTCAGGTGTACCAGCTAAAATTGTGTATCCATTTGTCAACTCCCCACACGTCCTGTTTATTACTTAATTATTCATATTTCTTTTCTGTGCATTCACAATGAAAAGCTGCAAAAATTCGCTCGTTTGCATGGCCATGTCAGTCTGTCTGATAACAATTCAAGAACCAAGAAACAGCTGCAGTACATGTGATATTGGGAACTTCTATCAAAACTGAGAACACATTCAAATTTGGGTTAAAAGTAAAAAAGTAAAGCTATCCCTGTACCAGGCCATGAAGGCCCATAGGGTTGTGAGACGTTGAGGGTCCCACACTATCTAGACAATCGGCTCCAAGATGGCGGTAAGGTTGTCAGCCTTACGCGCCGGCCACCCTTTACTACCCAGGAAAATTATTTAATTAATTTCTGGTACTCATTTCTGTTAGAGGCTGAGTAAACCCCAGGGCCTAGTACGGCTGGATGGATTAGGTCAACTGAAAAAAAATCCAATGACCTCATTGGGATTTGAACCTGCGACCTTCCAGAATAATAATGATGGACACTGAATGAAAATGTGTATGCTTTTCTCGCTCATCCCGAGCGTTAATTCCTAAATATTTATTGGAGCGAAACACGTTATGTTCAAAAGTTGTAGATAACAATAAAATACATTTTATGCCCAATACACTTTTTTCCTTAGGCTGTACAGTTTAAAAGTTAATTAAACCAACAGTAGCAAATGCGCCAGAATTGTTACATTATGTGTACAGTGCAGTACTTGCTTGAACAAAACATCCTGTTTTACAAACCACATTTCATCTGAGATGCAATTATTCTCTATTCTTGCCATTCCATTAGCATTTTATTCTTTAGCCTCCAGGCCTACCTGAGTAGGAACAGGGGTGGACGTGGCTTTTCAGAACAAGGAAGACGTTCCAGTTCTGAACTAGGTAGATACTCCACTTCAGAATCAAGTTCAAGCTCCGATTTAGAACAAGGAAGACGCCCCACTTCAGAACTAGGTAGATGCTCCAGTTCAGAATTTAGAACAAGGAAGACGATCCTGCTTAGAACAAAGAAAACGCTCCACTTCAGAACTAGGCAGACGTTCCACTTTAGAACTACGACTCCAGTTCAGAATTAGGCAAACGCTTCAATTCAGAGCCTAGATAGTTCAGTTGTGTAAAAAAAATTGGGGGAAATGCCCAGTACACTCTAAAAGGAAATTATTACAGTGTAGGCTCCCGAGTTCGCTCCTTCGCGTATCTTTCCTGGGAACAACAATTATGACGTCTTGAGGCGCAGTAAACAACTTCCTCAAAATGAAGGTCTGCAAATAAGTAAACGGGTTGTGCCCTCACTTCTTGCAGAACTTTGTTTACTGCCCCTCAAGACGTCATAATTGNACGAATAATTCTGAAACAACAAATCCCTGGACATTCAGTAGGACTCCTTAAGCGGGAAGTGACGTAGTTCCAAGTATGACAACTGCCATTACTGATGCAGTTCAAGTGCTCTCTATATCGAGCGTGCAGCAAACTACAATAGGTGGGGTCCCGTATCCCCTTACGTAATGCTCCATCGCTGGCTAACTATAGAGCTGAGAGATTCATTACAATGAACGTCAGTCTGCCGATATCACTCGTAATGTCATATTAATAAGCCCGTGGCCTTGGTCTTCAGTGTGGTCAGCTTCTTCCCAAGGTTGTAGGTTCGAATCGTACCAGAGACATCACCACGACTGATTCGACCATCCTACTAATATCTGGCGCGGAGTAAAGGCGATAACACTCCTCATTATGCAGTTTTCTTCAGGCTCCTGTTACTCCATCCATCTTGAGTGCAACAGTAACAGATCGATACGGGGGTTCTCAAATGTTGCGATATCCAGAACTCCCCCCCCCCCCCACNAAGGACGGTGGAAATGCAGCTCTGCGCATTGTTGCAGGTCCCTATCAGGCTGTACGGTGACAACAGGAACCTAAATAGCTTTACAGTCTCTCTACACCTACAGTAAGCTATAAAATGTTCCTATACAGATCCTATTTCGTCTGCTGTAGCCACATTCTCAGAATAAACCTATATTAAATCTTGCTGACTTCCCAGAACTGTGCATGGATACAACTGTATTTTAAGTAATTATTGAGAACTTCGTGCGAGCTTCCCGCTCCCGGGTGTCTCGCCTCACAGTTTGATAAACCCTGGACTAACGTATTTTTGGAATGTGATATGGATACGTACGGTTCGAAAGTGTTACAATCATAGTTTACTCTGGAAGACTGGCATGGAAGCAAGCAAATAAATCAATGGGAGAACCAGTTTCACGAAAGCTATTTCTAGATTGCTCAATGTAGGCCGCATATGCGTGCCCAGACTAATTGCTTACGGCAGTGGTTCCAAATCTCTTCTGGTATGAGGCTCCCTTCAAGAAAATAAAAAATTCTGAGGGCCCCAAACCTATAAAAATAGCTGAAAATGTGATTCAGCGACTTAAAAAAATGGTTAGCAATGAAGCCTAATCGTGAAGAATTCATTCTTCTGAGATATAACGCCGTGTACTCTGACGAAAATCAACCGACGTTTCGGAGGATAATTTTCAACGGACTACACGGCGTTATATCCCTGAAGATATAACTCTTCCTAACCACTGCTGTGTGAACCTCAAATATTACAACCTTAATTACATCGAAAAAATTTTCGTTTTTATGTTATACTGCATGTTCGTAATTTAATTTTGTCGCTTTTCAATCAATTTATGTGATATATGTATGATTAGACCATTAACATTTTCTGCGAACCCCGATAGAAAGATTCATGACCCCCTGGGAAGGGGGCGCGGCTCCCATTTCGGGAGAAGCTGGCTTACAGAATGAAGGTTTTATGGTGGACATACTCAGTCGCGTATGTATTCTGAAACAAAACAAACTCCGTGACATCTAGTCCGCAAGCGAACTATAGTAACCAAGCGACCGCCGCTTGTCGGAGCAGTTAGTGCCAACTTTTGCAGATAGAGGGTGTCACGTGGTCAGCGCAACGGATCCCCACGGCTATTGATCTCGGTTCTCTAGAGTCTAGACCGATACTACAAAATGTATTAATAGTGAGAGATGAGAAGTTCATATAAAATTCTGTTCGCAATTAGTTAAAGGAAGAGACCAATTGTAGACCTAAACGAAGGTGGAATGGCATTTTAAATAATTTCGGTAGAGACTTGTGAGTGGAATCGAGTGGGCTGAGAATGGGATCAGGCCGAGTCCAATTGCAAAGCCAGTCATCTCCACATACACCAAGATGTGTGCTCGCCAAGTTTCGTTGTCATCGGTAAATTACTGCGTGATTTATAACTATTTATCCGGAACCTCCTACGAACGAATCACCCTGTATATCGAAATGATGACATCACTAGTAAAATATAAACTTGGACAAACAAATGTTTATAGCCGAAACATTGTTCGAGGCTGTTGGAGAGTTCGGAAGCATATATCGGATACAAAAATTGGCTACGACTGTGGATGTACTTATTTGTCAAAGTTTAATATTTGGTTACTGACATCATCATTCGATATATCGAAACAAATATCGCTGTATGCCAAATGAAATTTGGCGGATGTCCGAGTGCGAGAATGTACGTCTCACATACAGAGGGCTCACTCTTCGACTCTGACGATGGAGGTAATACGTT